TTTTTTATCAAATAATCCTGAAAACTTTATTTGAAGTTTGGTTCAATGAATTTATTTAAAAAAAAAATAAGATGTACGTGATACGGATGTGAATGGAGCTTAATGTGTTGCAGCAAAGATGGGGTTTCCAAGAGTAAACGATGCTGCTTGTAGGAGCTGTAGTTATTTACACAAACACCACTGTAAAATATTGTTCATACTGTCAACATAACAATGTATACTACTGTACTACAGGTCCGGCATTCTGTGGTCCGGAAACTCCAGTGGTCCGGAACGATTTTAGTTTGCCCATGGAGAAAATTAATTTGAGTCTGGTACTTTTGATGTTTGGCTAAATTTGGCCTTATTTACCCTACTTTTTTGGCGAATTACTACCTGTAATAAAGCAACATCCTAATAAACCAACGAAAATAACAGATAAAATTAAATAAAAACTAAAAACAACACAGAAAAGTTCTTATGTTCTACAGCTTCAGATAGAGTTGAGCACACGTCATCCGAGTAAAAACACACACAACAACATTGGCTGTCCTTATGTTTTCAACTTTACCACCACTGGTGGGTAGAATTTTTGTCTTAAATTCAGAAACATTAATTAAAATATATATGAACAGTAAATAAGTGTTGCTTTCATATTCTTAGGTATAGTAATGACGATATGTTTTCACATGTGCTCACTTACATACGTGAGCTCACTTTTTTCTTTACCATTAATGGTTAGCTACTTCCATTGTTCCATTTATTAACATTAAATAACATTACTTTAAAACAACCATATTAATTTTTTACATTAATTTTACTACAGCTACAACCAGGGTCTTATTTTCTTCAGTTTTATATGTAGATCCAGTCAGTCACTGGTTTTGTAATCAACGAAAACAATCCTGTCTTGTTTCCTCGTGTATTTTAATATTCTACATACTGTATTATTAATGAATTGTATTGTTCATTTTGCACACATAAAAATTAATTAAATAAAAAAGACATTCACTAATAAACAATAATGAATCTTTTGTACATAAGAGAAATTACGCTGTTTACACGATTTGTGCATGTCTGAACGTTGGCGGGCCGCTCAAACCCGCCAAAATTCAAGTTTCCGCCGTCAAAACTTTAAATCGCGTAGTTTTTTTTGTGTGTGTCCAAAAACGTCCAATTAAAAACTCCCAAAATTTGAGAACCTGCTGTACAACATATAACCCTTCAATATGTCTTCAGAGAGACCACAAAGCAGTGAAAGTGGTGCTAGTGCTTCGAAGCGTAAGCAGAAGTCACTATCTATCCAGGAAAAGGGTGAATTTCCATGGTGGTCACCCATTGTTGGGTGTGGGATGAGTGGGTCTTATGACCTGAAGATGTCCTGAATGACATTATTTTTTACCTATGAGGTACAGTAGAACGTCGATTTAAAACGGGGGGGTGTAGAAATTCACCATTTTTCAGTTGCCAGCAGGACTAGTAGATTTGAAAATTTACTAGTCCTTATAAATTTTTGCTAGCCCTTAAACAATTTGTCAATATACATTAAACATTGGAACTTACTGGGTTTATACAAAGTTGTATTTACTGTGTGAGATTTATTTACTAGTAGAAACCATGTTAAATCATAAACCAACACTGGAATAATCACATATTAACTAAATTGCATAGAGCACAAATTTTTCATTGCATTTGAACAAGCATTTCCTGTACATGCTCCTCGTTCAACTCATTGTTGTCGTCCAGATCTTCCACTGTGCTGCAGCCAGCAGTGTGAGTGAAGCCATCCACACGGCAGGCCCCAGTTGTTAGGAATCTGGCAATGGCTTTGTCCGGATTGAAGTTGTCAACACTCTCTGTTTGCAACTGAACCGCCACGAGATCCATCAGGTGGTCATCAGTGAGACGAATGCGCCAGTCTGTCTTAACGAGTTTGACCTCGCTAAAACCACGTTCAGTATCAGCCGAACTAGCTGGAATGGAAAGCAGTAGGTCAACCAGATGGAGAAATGAGGCACACCTTTCTCCGTATGATTGGTTGATTTGTTGCCAAGACAGCCTTGAAACAAGTGATGTCTTACTCTTGAAAATTTAACTTTTGAGCACAATCCATTCATCCTCTACCAAAGTAGGATTCACCTCTGCCTCCATCAGTGTTTTCTCAAGAGCCTGGACCAACGCTAGCACAGCGCTATCCCGAAATCTTCATTCCCACTGTAATCTGCAGGCCACAATTTGAAATTCAAAATCCATGCATTCTGGAGAATCTTACTGGCCATGTTAATAAATCTTTTGTTTAGACTTGAAATCAGTGATGTCAGCATATCATGCCTTGCAGTCTTGAAGGTGTTGCTTCTACCACTCAGCTTCTCTCCTTGGAACATGGTTGTGTCACCTTCCATAATCCTTCTCAGGCTGGGTCCTGGCCAAGTCAAATATTTGTTAAGTACATCAACTGCAGTCTGAATTTCATTCACAATAGCAGAAATATTGGTTTGACCATGCTGGAACAGCTCTGAGAGGCCCCCAAGGCACCGCACCACATCCAGTAGGAGGCGAAGGTACTGGACTATGTCAGCACTGGTTAGAAGGAGCAGGTAGTTCTTAGCTTTTCTGGATGAGTCCTTGTGGTTCTGTATCTGCTGCATGTGGAGTACAATAGCCTTGTAACTCTTCAGTAGATACTCTAATGCCTGCAGCATATGTGAGAGCCACCTTGTACCACCCACACATTTTGGAACCAGAAATTGTACCTGACATAGGCCGTGAGCATGATTCAACATGCTCCTGTTGAGAGAACTCTTTTCATAGAACAGGTCTATGTCTAGCAGCAGTAAGTCAGCCTTTTGTTGATGGAAAGGCAGTTTTCATCACTTGTCGATTGTTTTTATTCTTGCCTATTATACAAGCAGGTATTAAATTTTGCTGTCATTGCTTTTATATATTATGTATATATATAAATTCCTCAATAATAATTGTATACAGTCTCTCCTCGACTTACGACGGGGTTCCGTCATGACGACCATGTCGTAAGTCGAAAAGGTGAAAATAATACATAGAAATTCTAAAATGGTTGTCTCTTTTTCTCCTCAGCACCACGAGAACTCTCACTTTTACAATTGCCAGCCATTTTAAAGTGAATTACAAACAAAAATTTTGTTAGTACACAGCGCGATCACTAACGTCGGGACTCGAAAATACGTAATGTGAAAAATATTTTATACGACCATGGCCGTCGTATGTCCGGGTTTTCGTAAGTCAAACATGTCGTAAGTTGAGGAGAGACTGTATCTACTTAATTAGACTGCGTTTATTCATTACAATGCACGGTTTCCATACACCGACATGAATAGCGGTGTATCTGTGTGTGATGTCATACAATCCCTGAACCGGCCTGGTGTTCTAGGTGGCATTGCACCAACTCATTTGTCCAGTTTTATCACACTACATTATATCATTGAGTGTATATATTTTATTTTCATTTTCATATAAAGTGTTATATACAGAAAATGGGTTTCCCTTCCTCTTACAATACCGGTGATACAATTAAGATAACTAGCATTAATAGGGTATTCTCTATATGAAGCTCTTATACACATTGAGTGTGTCTTACCACTGTCATCGGCCCACTCGCCCATCGGGCGACCCCAGACCAGCAAAATAGTAAAATCTTGTCGCCCTTATGATATTTTGGTCACCTTGGGCGACTGAGTGTATGTGAATTTCTACCCCTGTAAAGTGATTCAATTTAAGATTATTGATTTAAAGCAACACCCACAATTAAGGACAATGTTTTAATTTAATGTGAATCTTTCCTATTTTGAACGAGTCAATCTGGTGCATCATATTTTAAATTTTGCGCCTAATGTTTCTCTGGGCACGCTACATTTTAATAATGTGCAATTTTTTCAACTGTATTTTGGCATAGATCTACATAAATTTCTGGGTGTCTCTCTTTCTTCTCAGCACCACAAAACTCTCACTTTTACACTTGCCAGCCATTTAAAAGGGAATTACAAAAAAAAATTTAGTCGAATACACAGCGCGATTGTATGTCCGGGTGGTCATAAGTCGAGTAGGTCATAAGTCGAGGAGTACATATACAATAAAACCTCGATTAACTGCCCACATAAGGTGCTGCTGAAGACCGAGAGTTTGTTGGTATACTACATTAATCGTCAGTCAAGAAGGAACATGGCGGTCGGCACTCGGGCACTGCAGGGCTACGCCCGGGAACTCTACACAGCAGTAGCAAGAAAAATGGGGGTTGCAGAGCCCAAGCCCTTCAGTGCTTCCGCTGGGTGGCTGCAAGGTTTTAAACGACGCAAGAAGATCAAGAATATTGAGATAGTCGGAGAAGGAGCAAGTGCCGACCGGACTGCCGCCAGGAATTTTCCCCAATTTTTATGGCAAATTATGGAGGAAGGCCAGAATACCGACGACCAAGTGTTCAATATGGATGTAAATATTATTCAAAACATATATGAACAGTAAATAAGTGTTGCTTTCTTATTCATATGTTGAGAAATGATGTTATGTTTTCACATGTACGCACTTACTGTTCATACGTTGGCGTTCCCAATCGTCTTGCTTTATTTCTTTACCATTAGCGGTTAGCTACTCCTAGTGTTCCATTTATTAACATTAAATAGCAATACTTAAAACATACATACAGGTATTAAATTTGCTTAAATTAAGGTCACTACAGCTACAACCAGAGTCTTACTTTCTTCAGTTTCTTATGTAGAACCATAGTCACTCAGGAAAACAATACCGTCTTGTCTCCTCGTGTGAGTTTTAATATTATACGTATTATTTATGAATTGAATTGTTCATTTCACATATACATTAATTCAATCAAATACATATTCAGTAATAAACAATAATGAATCTTTTGAACATATTCTTAAAAAGATAAATGACGCGGTATCCTTAAATGCGCACGTATATGTTGACGTTCCCAATCCATCTCACTTTTTTTCTTTGCCATTAGTGATTAGCTACTTTTATTGTTCCATTTATTACCATTAAATAACGTTACTTAAAACATATACAGTCATGCGTCGGTTAACGTCCGACCGAACAACGTCCGATCGCATATACGTCCGTGGCCCCGCCTCCCCAAAAGAAGAAGAAAAAAAAAAAACTTCCGTGACGCCTGCTGGATCACCACTCCACGACCCCCTGACGGAGACACGATGATCCTCCCCATACTGGTCAGATAATTATGTGTTTAAGGAATATGCTTCCTTCCTTAGGGTTTTTTTTTAAGCTTTTGCCTCCAGGTGTATTGTTAACCTACATCTATTGAGGATAAAATCTTTCTCCTACAAATTGACAATAACACATTTGCTGTAATCAGACATATCTAGTTGCCTCAACAATTGCAACTGGGCCCCAGTTGCAATTGGGGTTGCAATTTCAAATTCTGTGTCATTACTAAGAAATAGCGAAGTCTCTGGTGCACTATAAGATTAAGAGAGAAAAATGAGGACTCAGGCGTCCTGAAGCGAGAGAAAACGGACTCATATGACGGGGGACCAAATAAAAAAAGCATAGCCACGTGTTTTGTGGACTACAGTATTGAGCGTACCCTTTTCATCACTTTGTAATAAACCTAGCCATGCCTGTGTGTGTTTATGATATTTACCATAACATTATATATATATTTAGTGGGTCTAAACGGTCGTAAAATGGAAAACTTGGGGTTGGGTCTTGGGTGCCTGGAACCAATTAGAATAACTCCCTTAGGTTCTGTACTTTCATTATCGCGTTTTTCGTTATCTCGCACTCGGCGGGGTCCCAATTAGGCGCGATAACCAAGGGATGATTGTACCGTACTGTATATACTTGTAACACTGGCCAGTTGCTTCTGGTGTTATGGTACAGGGGTACCAAGTGACAGCACTAGGATCCCACTTCCTCTATCAAGGAATAAACAATTAAAATTTAAATTGAAAAAAAAAAAAAAACATTCAAATAATGGGATGTAGCAAACCTAAATGGCCCTAGAGCGGGCACAGTCACGTATGCATCGCGTATTCTTATAGACTGTGCTGCCAGGCGTACGTTATCTAGTGAATTTAGTCAATATTGTACAGTAACAATGGACCTAAGTGCAAACCTGTATTGTACATGTACTAAATGATTACGGTACTAAAATTGTTATGTCTACTGCAAAAAAAGCTTGTTTATACAGATATTCAAATAAATTACTATCTTACAAGAATCCCTCCAATGTAAGTTATATTCACCCAGGTCATTTGGGTGGCAAATTATGTGAAGAGCTTAGTCACTCTTAAGTAATGATAAATAAACACTCAGGCAGGCCTTCAGCGCCAACTGTCAAATCTTATCTCAAATAAATAAACAAACAAACGCCAGACATTCTGTCACCTCCCCCCCCCCACCGTCTTCCCACCCTCCTTGTGTTGTTCCCAGACAAAAGATTGGTGATTTCTTTATGTTTATTTTATATAATATCTCAGACTAAAGTTAGGATAATATAATTTGCATTGCTGAAATCCTTGCAAGACAGAGATTAATTTGAATATAAGCATCATATATTTTGCTCAAGATATAAAAAATGTAGTACATTAGTGTACAATACTGTAGTACATTTTATAAAAAGTTTTTCAACTGTATTTTTGGGTAGATTTACATAAATTTCTTCATTTATTTTCATCCATTTACATGCACACACCATACTAAAAGAAACGTAATAGAAATAAATGACCTTAGTGCAAAGCTGGAGTGCACATGTACTAATTTGATTACAGTACTAAAATTGTTTTGTCTAGTGCAAATTATAGCATGTTTATATTCAAATTAATCAGTATGTTACAAGAATCCCAGCTATGTTAATTATATTCACCCAGGTCATTTCACTGGCTTTTTATAAGAGAGAAGCTTAGTCACCTAAGAACTGATAAATATACACGCGTTAGACCTGGGCCTGTGCCAACTGTCAAACGTACTACCTCCCCTCCCCCCAGGCCCCCGAGCTCGCTCCCACCCTCTCCCCATCTGCTCGGCATTGCTGGAATCCTTATAAAACAGTGAATAATTTTAATATAAACGTCATGTATTTTGCACAAGAGATAAAAATTAATCACCTGTATCACATTACAGTAGTGATTTAACAGTAAAAGTGTATATGTACATATATAGTATTCCACATACACATAAGTATAAATTAAAAGTTTATGTGATGATCGGACAACGTCCATTTCGGTTAACGTCACGTTTCCAAGAACGTATCTAGGACGTTAACCGGCACATGCGTGCGTGCGTGCGTGCGTGCGTGCGTGCGTGCGTGCGTGCATACATACATACATACATACATACATACATACATACATACATACATACATACATACATACATACATATATATATATATATATATATATATATATATATATATATATATATATATATATATATGTGTATATATATGTATATATATATATATATATATATATATATATATATATATATATATATATATATATATATATAT